TCCGAGAGGTCTGTAAGGTGGTCTCGGACGTGCTAAAGGAAGTGGAGGTACAGGAGCCTCGCTTCATCAGCTCCCTGAGCGAGATCGATGCCCGCTACGAGGGGCTGGAGGTCATCTCGCCCACGGAATTCGAGGTGGTGCTCTACCTAAACCAGATGGGCGTCTTCAACTTCGTGGACGACGGCTCCCTGCCCGGCTGCGCGGTGCTCAAACTGAGTGATGGGCGGAAGCGGAGCATGTCTCTCTGGGTCGAGTTCATCACAGCGTCCGGCTACCTCTCAGCGCGCAAGATCCGCTCACGTTTCCAGACCCTGGTGGCTCAGGCGGTGGACAAGTGCAGCTATCGGGATGTGGTCAAGATGATCGCAGACACCAGCGAGGTTAAGTTGCGCATCAGGGAGCGCTACGTGGTGCAAATCACTCCCGCGTTCAAGTGCACCGGTATCTGGCCTCGCAGTGCGGCACAGTGGCCTATGCCCCATATCCCCTGGCCCGGCCCCAATCGGGTGGCGGAGGTCAAGGCCGAAGGGTTCAACCTGCTGTCGAAGGAGTGCTACTCACTGACCGGCAAGCAGAGCTCTGCAGAGAGCGATGCCTGGGTGCTACAGTTCGGGGAGGCCGAGAACCGCCTGCTGATGGGCGGCTGCCGAAACAAGTGTCTCTCGGTGCTGAAGACGCTGCGGGACCGCCACTTGGAGCTACCAGGCCAGCCGCTCAATAACTACCACATGAAGACGCTGCTGCTGTATGAGTGCGAGAAACACCCGCGGGAAACGGACTGGGACGAGGCGTGCCTAGGCGATCGGCTCAACGGCATCCTGCTGCAGCTCATCTCCTGCCTGCAGTGCCGTCGCTGCCCTCACTACTTTCTGCCCAACCTCGACCTTTTTCAGGGCAAGCCCCATTCGGCCCTGGAGAGCGCTGCCAAGCAGACCTGGAGGTTGGCCAGGGAAATTCTCACCAATCCCAAAAGCCTGGACAAACTATAGGGTGCTGGGGACTGCTTGAAAAGCGACACAAACAGGAATGCTCTCTTACACACAAAACACACAACTCAGCTACAAACAGCAGAAACTCCAGACACAAACTTTCATGTAAGCCACCTAAAGAAACAGGAAGCAGGCACAAGACCTTCATTAATTAACAAGCAAACAAAGAGAGCAAACCAACCAGCCAAACAAACAAAATCACATTCTTGCACAAAAGTGATCGTTTTTCTTCCAAACAATGTGAATTTAAAAGGTCACACAAAAGAAGCAATCGGGCTTTGCCACCACAAAATGAAACCCAAGGTACATTTTCAAATCAATGTATAGTAGTTTCTCCTCTTTTCCTTCTCTCCCTTTCTCCTTTCTCCCCTCTCTCATCTTCTTTCTTTCCCTCTCCCTCTCCCTCTCATTTCGTTTTGGGTTGCCTGAATGTTGTCACCAAGTGAGAAAAAGTATTTAATTATATGTAAAATTTCTCTTTTAAAAAAAGTTTTGCTGATGTTAAATGTATCTCAGTGCCAATGTCAGATTGTGCCCCTCCCTTTCTTGCACCTCTACCCTCACCCTAAGCAGTCTTGTTGAAAACAGTAATAAAAATATTACTTTACATTGTAATTGACTGTGGATTGTTCTTAAATGAAGGCAGGTGAGATCACAATTTATAATTTACAATGTAAAGATGTGAACTTCAGGAACTAAATGCAAGAAGCTTTCAAAGGAAGTCTAATTTGCAAAATTTACAAATACAGCCCTTTTTTGTAGGTTTAACCATACAAGTCCCCTCCCCCCATCCTTGGATCTTGAAAATATTGATTTTACCCAACTATAATGTTTGTTCTGTAAATTTTGAGGTTTAAAGTAGTATCTTTCTTCACACTTGAAAAAAAAAACAGATTTTTGTATGGAAGAAAAGATTTTGGTCCTAATGTTTAAAATAGAAAAAAATTATTTCACATTAAAAATTAAGAGATTTGCTTTCTTACATCATAATTTTAAAAAATCCATTCTGAGTCTGAAAAACAAAGGCAATATTCATGGATCTTTTCTCAATAGTTAACATGATCAGTTGATACTTTGCTTTCAATTATTTGTCCTCTTCGAGCTTTAAATAATAAAAACTTAACAATTAAATCAGCCATACCGAAAAAGAATAAAATGGTTATAGCAATACTCTTTTTCCCCAGGAAACAGTGATGTGAACAATCCAGATTTAGAAACTACCTCAGTTTTTTAAGGTTTTAAGGTAAATGCCATAACTATGACCATTATTTGTCAAATTCCCAGAATTATTCAGAAGGTGCTTATAGGCAATTGAAAAAAGGTTTTAATACTATTTTTATGACCAAAGAAAAATTACTGTTTCAAGAATTTACATACAGGAAAAGTACATTACTCCTTCTGCTTTCCTAAGGTAACAATCCAATGTACTCATTTTAACACTTCATCTAAATTAACAAAGGTTTTTTTTTTAATACAAGGAAATAACTAATTAAAAATAAAATAATTAGTAAAACTGAAAGCATCCCAAAGGAACTGGTTTGGTTTGTCTTCTTTTTGTTTTCTTCAATATACTCCATTAGATATGCTAATAATGAGGCACAGGTACAGAAAGTATGTCAGATATTACCCTTTAACATTTAAAATTTATCCTTTGAATTAGTCTAGTTTTTAATTTACTGAAAAATCCATGAATGAGAGGTGTAGACAAAAATGTTCTAAAAAGGAATTTTAAAGATCTGAGGAAGAACTTTGCACGGGGCAGGGAGTGTATGGAGGGATGATCCACAGGACAGAATAGATGGATGAGAAACAAGGAAGGTACTCAGGGCTCTGGTGCCTAGTTCACTTGACAAAAGAGGCTTAAGTTCTCAGATTCCCTGGTAAGAATTCCCTAGTAAAAATAGTTTTGTTTTAGAAATATAAACTTTGATCTTATCAGTTCTGAAATAATCTCTACTCTTTCAACCTACACTGTATCTTTTTCTGATCTCTCTTCCTGTAGATGTAAAACAAACTCACTGTAATACTAAGTGGTTCAGACAAAAATACTGATTTTTTAATAACAAAAATGAACTATTCCCCGGGGAAAATGTTCTGATTTTTTTAGGAACATTTTCAAAGCAAGTAGTAGGTGCTCACATTTACAAAGAAATGATTTAAGGGCACAGTGTTTAGTTTAAAAGATAAAAATGACATCTTAAAATGACCTTTTTTCTTCTTATGCACACAAGTATTTACAGCATTAGAGACTATCTCTCTCCAACTATCCCAGGAAGAAGTTTTTAAGTCCTGACAAGAAGAACAAAAATTCCCCAAATTCAGTATTTTTTTCCTACCTTATTTAACGCAGGTATCACCAACAAAAAAATAAAAACACTGCCACAACACAAGTGTCCTCATCTATAAAACACCTAAAAGCACCAACGTCTACACAAAATAAAAATTTCTTTCAATAATTGGCTGAAAAATTTTAAGAATATAAATTAGCAAAACTCTGATTTCTGTAACATTAGGCAGGTTACAGGGGTACAAGACAAATGAGTGATTAGGCTAAAAGATCTTTGTATTGCACAAGCAATACGGGAAAAATTAATGATGTTGCACAGAATAAAATTAGAGAGAAATAAAAGTTCTAACTTCTCTCAAAAGGAGTAAATAACTTTAAAGAGCCTCACTGCAAAGACTGGCAGAGATCCTAATCTTGAGAACAATTAGACACCTTTAAATTACATCCCATTTTAGATTCTATGCCACATATGTCCAAAAGCATAACAGAATATTCTGAATTAAATTTCAGCCTCTCAAACATACAAAGTACCATAAATTAGAGTTTAAGTAATTTTGGTTACCTTTATTTCCTAAAGAAACTAAAATACAATTTCAGATAGTAGAGCCATGTAACAAAGTAGGAAATTTTTCTAGTTGATGTAATTTCACAATTAAAGTTTTCTCTACATTGAATTGGCTGAATTATCAAGCTCAAAACAGTTGCTTCCAACATAGCCTTCCTTTTATACAGTCTATCAAATCTTATCTTTATAAAGGCAGCAATTCTGAAACAAAATGCTAGAAACACATGTAAGACAAGAGACGATTTGTTTGTAAAGTTTTAAATAAAATTATAACATTTTTATCAATGATTACTTTGAAATACTTCTAAATCACTAAAATTTAATAATTCACATGATTACAGTACCAAAGAACTTCCTATCGATAAACTCAAAATATGTGTGTTCACACAAGCTATCAGACTCTAAAATAAATAATTCCATTTTTTAAGCCACTTCTCTTCTACAGGTTGCTTATTTTGCTCCTTTTAAAAGAGACTGTTTCCTATCAGAACAAATTCACTTTCATGAAATAAACCTAGCTTTGGCTTTATGGCTGTGCCACAAATGTTTCTTAGTAAAATAAAGTTGCCAAGGTCTGAAAAGTAATCAGAAATACATTTTAAAGGGGAAATTACATTTTCATTTAAGAATAGGAAATTATGCAGTGCCTTGTAAAATCGACTGTAGGTAATGGGAAACAGAGGTATCTCACACACACAAGACATGCTTGCGTGCACAACAGAATAGTAAGTCATGAGGACAAAGCAAGGAGAGTGATATATTGGTATTATATCCAGAAAATATAAAGGCTAAACAAAATAATTCCACTCTCAACCTCACTGAATTTTGTAGCTTAATTCACCCTGGACCTTTTGTGGCAAAATATATTTATGGATGATATTCCCTGTGGTTTTCCCCCAACCCCAGAATGAGCTAATGATAAACGCAATTAAGTGGAAATTGTTTTTGAATCTAAATGAACTTCAATAATCTAACTAGCTGGTAAGGGAATCATAAGCTAAAGAAGATAGTTGCCTTGCATGTAGGCAGAAGCAATTCAGCAAGAAATTCAAACTAAGTCTGTCAGATTTTACCAATGCCAATCCTACCCAACAGCAGCCCACCGTCCCATCGTAAGAAAAAAATGTTTAAAAGTGAAACCCACTCCTCATCTTCTCACCTTGGGGTCGATTTTCTTGAAGTTAGAGTCCTCTTCATCCACCTCAAAATAGAGTTCGGAGGAGGTGACAGAAAGAGTGCCCTTTACTACAACAGAGGGGGCCACAAGCTGAGCCGGTGTGCTCAGGCTAACAGGACCTGCCAAAAGCAAAAGACAAGCCACACATGTTGGACTGACATTTTTCAAAAAAATCTAATAGATTCAAGTGGAAATTTTATTTTTAAATTCTCTCTAGTACCAAATTGTCTGCCAAATTGTCTACACTTACAAATTCTGTCTACCCCAAATCTTCCTCTGAAAATGCAGTTACTAGGATTCTCATACTAAGAAATTTATAGTAGGTGGTTAATAATAACAATAAACTAGGATGCAATTATTTTACAGGGAGTCTGCAAAGCTTTGGTCTAGTCTCCTGGTAAGAAGGTGGCTCTGCCTAAATAAGTCCTTCCACATTCCATTTAGAAAACAAGCCTCAGGCTATCCAACAACATGGAACAACAACCAGAAGCAAGGAAGACTCAATAGGTTTCTAAGGCCAGAGGTTAGCTTAGTTTGGCTGAAACACGATTACAACAAAGATCACTAGCTTATTAGTGAAGTGAGAAACGTTATACCATATTCTCTGATAAAGATTTTGTGCCAGGTTGACACAAAACCTCTTCATAACAACTTTACCCCATGAAAGACTGGTAAAAAATACTCCTTTTCTAAGCCTGCCTTTCCACTGTTAAATATTGTTCAATGCTTCCAAATCTAATATTAGTGTAGTTCAGGGACTCTGGGAGTAAACAGCTGGAGGGTGGGTTTCCAAGTGAATGAATTTTTATTGGAATAATCAAATCTCCACAGGGCTTATCAAAAAGACAAATCAGCCTGCTACTGAAAACAATAGATTCACTACAGATAGAAGAGCATAAAGTATATTAGAGCTAAACCTAAAATAAAGGACTAAAAGTAATAATTATATTATATACATATATATACTTAGGTAGAGAGAGAAAGTAAGAATTTGAAATCCCATCAATTCCTCATTGTACAAATCCTATAGGTGAAGAAAACAGCAACAGAAAATTGGTACTTATAGTTCTGAATTAATATAGTGCCTATAAACATGGTACACCTATTCAGGTAATCAATGGGTGAATAAGTGTTTCAAAATTCAGATGAATCGACATTTCCATCGATTGTTAGAAGGTGCTGGTCCTTAATCTCACATCAATCTTAATGTGTGCCAGTAGGACAATAGAAGGGATGCTCTGCGGAGATCAGAGCAGGTTTTGCCCTCTATTCCCAATGTACAAATACATTGTGTTTGCAGATGGGCAGCAGATAGCTGCAGAACAGCCATGATTTCCCAAAGCTCATCTCTATAAATGGATGAAATAAGCAGCTATGTGTTCTTTTGCTGTCTCCTTTGCCCTCTGTACATTAGCATGTAATCCTGAGAAGAAATAACATTTTTTCAATCACTCTCAGACATTCAATTACAGGGTAAGCAGACAGCTGCAGGAGCTAGGGCAGCCTAGGTCCTACAGAAGACCCCTGACAATTTCCACTTCATTTCTAACCCACACCACTTTATTAGTGTGGATTACTTCTTAATCCTATTGCCATTGTCAAGATTATATAATTAAACTCCCCTTTCACCTCTATTACTGTATGAATGTATTACTAGTAGCAAGAACAGAAGCAAAATAAAGGAGGAGGAAATGGGTAAATAGATGTGAAGGAAAAGGCTAGAGAATACCAGTGTCCACCTACTCTCTACGCCCAGTCCAAATCCCTTAACAGTGTGCTCTAATTAATTTTATTTTTACCTTCTAGAGAGGTTTATGGGTCATCAGAGAAGATACCATCATCTATTTTTGCTTTTCATTCTAATTCACTGCATGGTAGCACAGGTTGCAGACATATCACTAAATGAAAAATTCCTGATGCCTTTTCTCTTAAATTAAAATTATCAAAAAAGAAGACTGTACAATTTTCACCTACGGAAATTGTGGAATCTTTCAGACTTTCCTCCTGGCGAGAGAGAGCCACAGGCATTAAAGAAAAAAAGCCATTTAATGAATGACTAAATTTTCAGGCTAAACAAGAGAACTTTTCCCATAAGGGAAGTAAAACTGAAAATCTGCAGAGTGCAATCAAAATTCCTCCATCAGGTAAAATATGTGGATCCTGTGAAAAGCCATAGCATTCTTGGAATGGATTTTTTGAGAGAGTTAAATGTATATGCAGCATGTTCACTAAGACTGTATATCAAAGCAAATAGCTCATCTGCCTCCAAGCTTTATTTACAAAACAATCGGCAAAATTTTACTTATAGCTCTCATTTTATAGAGATTAGGTAACTCCCATGGGTGAAGGAATTTTGTTGTTGCTGCTTTAAAACTTTTTTCTTTTACAGTGAAAATTATTCATAAATGAAAAAGATGAGAAGGGTAAAGAAACTGAAAAGAATGGAAAAATAAAGGGGAAACCGCGTTGAAGATTAGGGGGAAAATGTTTGGAAGAACAAAAACAATCTTTATTTAAAGTAATTGTGGGTGTAAACTTGGTAGTCCTAGTGGTCACAGATGAAAAAGTAAGTAATTAGATGGTTATTGGCCTGGAGCTAGCTGAAATATCCGCACAACCACTGAATTTACCAGCGAGATTCTCTAAATCTTTCTCATCCACGGATGACAGAGTATCGTCGTCGCCTTCCAGGAGGATCTCGTTTTCTGAGTTCTGATTTCCTAAAGCCTGACTCTTGATGGACTGTTTTCCTTTAGTGAGGATATCTTCATCTGCAGCTGAAATGAAAAGGAAACAAAGCTGTCCATCAGCTCTGGGAAAGAGTACTTTGGCAGAGGGGCAGAGAAGTGAGGTAAGGATAGGTGGCCAAAGATGGTCAATCATTTTTACATAGAGTCATCCACAGTGGGAAAATGATTGGGATGGCACACATGTTCATTTTGACAAACGTGATTCTCCAAGCCTAGTCTAATGTTACCTTGAACAAGCACCCTAATCCCATTAAATCTGACCCTTGCACCGCTCACCAAAACATTTATTTACTTACAGTTAGGGCAAGAGAGGGTTCAAAGGCAGCACGTTTTTGGGAAATTAGCAGAAAAAAATCAGAATCCAGTTTTGGAAACAATACTTACTTGATACTGAAAAATAAGAAAGGCTGATCATCCCTGCAAATAATGATTATACTGACAAAACATTATGAAATGGTCAGGGAGTGGTTGTGGAGGAGAATCCAGAATAAGAAGGGTCAGAGTTAAGAGAGATTCACAGCCAATGAGGATGTAAACCCAATCCTGAAGCCAAAGCTGACATCAAGAAAGCTATAACAGCTCTCAGAAGCTGCATTCTCTTCTTTACTCCAATCCTCCCTCTTGCCTTCATATTGCCCTTGCCCACATCTCGCCCACCCGGACCCCCACTTCAGCCTTTATATAAATATCCAAGAGGAGTAAGACACTGTGGAAACTAAGTGGAGGCTCAAACGCTACCTCCTCCATGTGTTTAAACTAAAAGGCTAAGACACCCCAGGGGCAAACATAACAGAAAGCCCAGGAGGAGAGGCATCTGGGCAAAGAGTCTTACAGGGCCTGAACTGGAGCAGCCTGTGGAGAGCGGCAGCACCAGACTCTCAGACCCTGTGACAAGGCAGCCAAAAAGGAGAGAAAAGAGGAAGAGGGTACGCCAAACCTAGGGAATGATGCTCTGTGGAGCACCTACAGCCAACAATTGAACCAGAAAGAGAAACAGAGGTGCAGTTGAAAGAAGAAAACACTGAAACTCAAAATTCTGACTTCAAAACCCCATATCCCTCCCCAGGGTAACTCCCACTGCTTTGAGCAGCTTTCTCCTTCAGGAATACATAAAAGCAGATACTAAATTTTGGGTTGTGATTTTTAAAAATTCCTAGTGTCATGTAAGGGAAAGTTTAGAATCTTTGCTTCACTACTGATATTCCCGGGTTGCCAGCTAGGGAAATCCAGGAGGCAAAGCACCTGATCCACCCAGGCAGTGGCTATTGAAATGGAAATCAGATGGCTAGCTAGGCTTTTTGCTTCACTGCAATTTCTGCCCAGGCATTAAGGCCCCAAACCCAGAAAGGATAATGTCTGCAAGTAATATGACTAATATTTATATATATAGTTTTTTTCTAAATAGTTAAACTACATTGTATGTTACCGAACGTTTTGACAAATCAAAGCTTCTTTGATTTTAATAGGTATGGTTATGGATAATAATAAAGGTAAAAGTTTATTTTTATCTTATTTATTGTGAGTTCACAATGTATACCATTTATGTACAACACTAATGGCACTACTTTAAAAGAAAATAGTGGCTTTATATTAAATAAGAATGTCATGGAAAGAAGCTCTCTATATTTAGCTTTGAATATCCTCTATGGGTAAATCAAATTTTATTTTCCTTCATACCCACAAATAACAAGCATAGTATGCTGCACACATACGAAGGTCTCAATAAATATTTTGAAAAAATTTAAAGTATCTAATTAAAATGCCTAATTTTTAGGAAAATAAAATTTTTAGGAAAATAAAAACCCTAATTTTTAGGAAAATAGCATTAAGTTATTATATCATTGTTTACCTTACTCTGAAATCATAAACACTGACCTGAGACCAAGCAAGATCTTCCCCAATTTACTATCAGTGTTACTAAAAATATATTGGTCACTGAGATATACAAGAGAAACCACCATCTTCTATACTTTCTTATAAAGCAAATCATAATAAATTAACAATTGCTAATCAGATTTTAGTACAAAATCAATGTACAGTTGTACAGTTCCTTCTTCAAAGCAGAAATAATAATAATGCTAATATTAAATAACATGTGCCGGGGAGTGTTCAAAACACGTTACTTATTTAACTCATTTAATTCTCTTAAGCCCTCTGCTAATTTCTCCTTTCCAGATGGGTAAACAGGCTCAGAGAGGTTACATAATTTGCCCAAGGCAACACAGCTAGTGAGAAGTAGAGTCAGGATTGAAATCCAAGTATTATGGTACCAGTATCTTAACCACTACACAAATATCAGTATCTATATCTATATCTATCTATCTATATGTATATATAAAATTTATGGATTAGTTTAATAATTCTTCTGTTTCTCATACTGCATTTAAAAGGTTAAGTCAAAATTATAATATACAAGTTAAGAATACAAAAATATTCATTTCCAAACCTAAATTTGATGAGCATACGACAAACATATCAGAAACAACCAAATTCAATACCTTGCTCGTTACTATCTCTGATTATTACCATACATGTCCTCAAGTACACTACACTAAGCTTGGGGGGTGGCGGGCAGGGGAGGAAAGAAAGGAAAAAAACCCTGTAATCTGCAAACATTTACAAAAAATGAGAGTAGCCAAGTAGCAACATGCAGTGGTTTAACATAGCTCAATAAATTCATTCATTCATTTTAAATGACCACAAAATATAATTTGTTATCCCATCCAACTGTAACTTAAAAAATTTTAATATGTTCTCATCATGCCGACACATATTAAAACACAATTAACTTTTGAATTAAATAAAATTTTATGAAAAAATTTTGAAGTACTATAAGTCTAATGTATGCATACAAACACCCATTTTAATTTATTTATTTACTTGTTTTTACAAGCTCCGATTCTGGAATTGTTCAACCTCAACTGAAAAACCTCTTGTCATGGAAAATATGCAGCTTACTGATATTTAGAATGGTTTTCCTGTAATTAACTCCCCCTTGAGGATTTTAAGTTAGCAGCAGTAAAATTACCAACAGTACTCTAACACACACCACATGCGCTGGTGTTCAATTCTCAGTGGTCTAATAGCTCTCTGCTAAAGAACTTTTTTTTTTTTGTTTCAAAATTAGAACAAAACTATCCCAAGCATAAAATAAAAGATAATTACCATGTTTATATGTGCTGGGGAAAGTATATTTTTAACTTCTGTTTGCCTTCTACTCAATCAATCATTAAAACAAGTATCAACTGTTTTGATATTTTTTGTGAGTATATTCTACACTAGCATAAAAGTTTAATTGGATGAAGTCAGAACACACTTCTGGTTCCATTTCAAAGCTGACTCAGATCTTTGCTGTAATAAAATTATTACCAAACATGATAACTATTTAAAATTTTCACATCACTATTAACAGGTTGCCTTCATATAGACTCACATTTTATTCTGGTTTAATATTTACCCTAACTTGATAACTAAACTGCAATTGTTACATAAAACCAGAGAAATCTGTCAAAAATGCTTTCTCTGAAACATGACTTTTGATTCACTGAAGCTAAGAGCAATGAGAGGGCTCAGAGAAAAACTGGTCCTCAAGATGTAAAGTTCAAGTTCTTTAGAGCTAGCTCTAGGCATGAGTTGATTTATCTGTGCAACACAAGCTAGCTAAATAAAATTAAAACAGAAAAAGAACACAGAAAACGGTTCCACCTATGACATAAAACTCCCTTTTAAAAGTCCACTGTACGAGTGAAATGGAATCAACAATAGTCCATATTGCAGTAAAAGAAGTTTATACATTGAGAATTAACCACTTTAAAAAAATTACTACTGGAATAACAAAATGACCTCAAATGTAAATAAAATGAGTATGGGTATCCACTTAATGTGATGTGAAATGCCTATAACCATAACTGCTTATTCTGAACAAGACACTTAAAGAATATCTTATACACAACTACTGTCCCAAACTGTATAGTTTATGCAATTTCCAAAGGGTTCCAAGTCAAGGCAATTTACTCTAGAAATATTGGTGAAACTACAAAAGATGATTAGGAGATTAAGAAAACAAGCCAAGTTCATCTCCTAATGAGTTTTATAGAACCTAATATATGTTGATCCTAAAAAGGAAGCCATAGTATCTGGCATTATTGAAGTTATGAAAGAATGGCATGATTTAGGATCTTTATATGATCTGTCATCCCAAGAAAACCAGATGAGTTACTTGTATCATTCCATACAATTACAAGATACTTCTTAAACTATGTTAAATTCTTCTCATATATTTCCATTAGCATGCACATTCTCTACAAAATGAAAATATCTTGAATTCAATAGGATTCTACTGCTGAATTGTTTTATTATTTGAATTAAAACCAATCTTTCCACCATTTAAAACATTTTTTTTAAAGATTTTATTTATTTATTTGAGAGAGAGAATGAGAGAGAGAGAGAGCACATGAGAGGGGGGAGGGTCAGAGGGAGAAGCAGACCCCCTGCTGAGCAAGGAGCCCGATATGGGACTCGATCCCGGGACTCCAGGATCATGACCTGAGCCGAAGGCAGTCGCTTAACCAACTGAGCCACCCAGGCGCCCCCATTTAAAACATTTTTTACGTGGCTTTAATTTAAATGTAAAGTTCCCATTAGATTTAACAATGAATTTTAGAAGACAGTATAACACTACAATAAGAAAATCTGATTAGTCATCAGTTAACCTAGGCTTTAGTCCTGTATGTACCAAGAATTATGTGGCTTTTTGTTTCCTCAGTTTCCTTATTTATAAAGAATAAAGTTAGAATAGACTTTAGCTTTTGGTTCTTTCCAAATCTAAAATGCTCTGATAATAAATAACTGACAAACTGGGCCCTGTGCATTAGGAGAATGTTACAAATCATTACAACTAATTTCTAATAAATTTTAAACCATAAAATGCAAGAAAATGCCCTCAAGAATCAAATACCCACCTCTGCTTGCTGCTAATTTCCATAAAGAATATTTGATAATAAGAGGAAGTATTAATTTTAATTTAAAAATATGACTCAGTTTCTGCAAAGTTAAAGAAATCTCCCATTACAAAATGACTTTTATAAATAACCACTTTGGAGGGTCTCTCTTTGAAAAATTACCTAAGGCCCTTTTCCCCAAGCAAGTTAATGTGAACTTGGGAAGGGCAATTAAATTGTCAGAATTAAAAAATTTGTTTTTAACTAGAAGGTAGCCAGAAGTAGAGTCATGGGGCTAGTATTGATCGCCGGAACAGAGAACATCACTCTTCAGGTATTTACTCTGCCACCTTTACACCAGAGGCTTTCCTTCAAATCAAATCAATCTATAAAAAAGATGGCTCTTACTACTAAAATACATAACTAATCTCCAACGGCATTTCTATTTAGATGTTTCCCTTTGATAACAATAATATAGTTCATGATGTTTTAAGATTCTGCATTAAACAATGTGAGTCCTTAGTTAAATCCATTATAAATAAAAGTGAGAAGTCCTAAAACAGTATAAAACTGACACAATACTCTTAGTAATATCTATTTTAAATATTCAAATTCAACCCTGAAGCATAGCATTTATCCATGCTAAATTCTGTAATTTCAATTGCTTCTTGATTACATTCACTGCTTTATTTTGCTAACTTGATTTTTAATGTTTATTTTCATTAGCTTCCTTATTGTTATTAAGTTAAGGCTAAAGAACAAGAATTTCATAATTAACACAAAATTAAAATTGAACATCAACTGTAAGATACTTTAATAAAACACTAAAGAATTAAGTTCTTGGCTAATAAATGAACTTAGCATTAATCAGGCTGACAGGAAACACTACCATTGTACAATCTATATGCTGAGTTTTAAAACTGTCTAATATTCATTATTTAAAATAAAAAATATATACAAAGTATATATATGTATCTTTTATCAAAAAATGTTATATTAAATATGACATATCTCCTTAATTGGCAGACCACTGAAGCATCTCCTACACACATTTGTTTTTAAAAAAATACATTTCAGATTTAAATTTGTTTTTAATCTTTCAGAGTATTTTAAATATTAATCATTTTAAGATTCATATAGAATATTGCCAAATAAGATGGAATTACATTAAATGCTTTATTTTACTTCTCTCAATTTAACAAATTAATATTATATTAACCTTTCAATTACTATTTGAGTGAAATCTGCTTCCATACAGGATTAAAAAAGTCTTAAATGACAGTAAGCATTGCTAATAAATATTTTTTAGCCAGCTTTTTAGCATTAAAAAAAGTTGGCATAATATTATTTTAAAAGATAAAGTTCAATAACACTAAAATCCAAATTTATTCATTATGAAAAATTCTGCTATTCCCCCAAATGGCTACATGTACTATTTTTGATAAAGATGGATTTTAATAAGCTCTGTATTAAATCCATACCATAAATTTTAAATTCAGTTACTGATATTTCTTTCAAAATTAAGGATTAACAGATTGCCTATGTATAATTTTAAAAAACAAGTACCCTCTCCAGGTATAAAAGGAAAAATTTTCATAAAAACATATTTATTGTCACTGATAGACTTCAGGCTTCACAACTCAATGTTAAATGACAGTTAAGAAGACAAAGATATTTATTAAATTTTAAGTGTACATGGTAACGTCTGTTTGAAAAGTATAAAACTGCAAAATTAAGCTGATTTTTTTCATTGTAAGAGTCACTAGCCAAAAGAAAAAAAAAAGGAAAGAAAAGGAAAAAATAAATATAACTCTGAAATCTATAGCACCACATAAAAAGCACATGAACCCTAAAAGCGAAAGTGGCCTAATTAATTCTACATCTTATTTCTCTTTCCCCACCTTCTGTAGTTGAAGATGTAGGGCCCTCAGACTATTACTGCTTTTAGATCACTTTGTTATTGACTATTCTCTGTATGATCATTTATTTTAAAGGACTGATGTCACATTTGGTGTTATATCTGATGACATATTGTGGACATTTTCCTCCAGAAATGGCTCTTTAAGGCTGAGTGCAAGAGGTTAAGCTGCCTGACTGAGGCCAAACCTAAAATCACAGACTTTTAATCTAAATTCTTAATATCCTTATTGAATGTAATTTTACATTTATTTTGTATACTCCATACTATCATTTAACCATAAACTGCTGCACATTAAACCAATACCTTGAAAAGGGAATTAAAACTATTTATCTTATTAAAAAATAACCAATTTATATTTTATAAAATCAAAATTAATTTAATGTAGAGAGGAGCTTTCCCCTCCTTAATCAATGTATCTTAATTGGCTTTCACAAGTTATAAAATATTAAGTGAAATGCTATGATCAAAGAGAGTATATTATTAAATCCAAATTTTCTCCAATTTGCTCATCAGGCTTCTGTCTAATCTGAATCATAGTGATATGCATTATATCAAAAAAGGGAAAAATGTTTTGTTAAGCTCTGATAACAAGATGATGCAAAACAGCAACATATGAAAATAATGTCTATCCTCTTTCTCCAGGAGCCATCTATCACAACCATCTACAAATCAAGGCTCAGAAAGTATCTAGGCACTTGGACATTTATTACCATCTCTCCCACTTCGTAATATCATGCTAAAATTCCATAGTTGAGGGAAAACCATATACACACAACAGAACCTAGAAACCTATTTGGTTTGTAAATGCTGTCTTTCTGATATTCATGGATTTAAGGCAGGCGTCCCGATTAACTTACTCAAAGCTGAATGTGTCACTTAAAAGGAGAAATATTTTATCCTCCTACTCTGAAACAAAGGGTCTATGTTAAGTTTTGCATGTGTAACATAATAAGTAAATACACTTGACACCATAATTTAATAGAACCCTACACTAACTATAAAATATTTAACTTCTCTTTCTGGGGTGAGTACCTATGAAATGTGGTATGGACCATTTTACAGTGCCTTGTAATAATGAAGTTACGCTCTTCATTACCAAGTACCGTACCTACTGCTACTGGCAAGGAGTGGTTTATACACTGACCATGTTCCACGGCTGTTTTTAGTGTCGCTTCAGGATGTGTCGATCCTAGAGGGTTACGCACAAATCGTCGCCGGCGCCGCAAGTCATCTTCCCAGTAGTCAAGGCGCCAGAACTCACGAGGACGACTACAATGAAACAGAGAAGCCACATATGTTAGCAATTATCAAACAGCGTGGTAGCACTGAATTTCTGCATAAAGCTCTCCTTGTTTGCTCTGCCTTTTTTTTCCCTCCCCTTCCTCTTAATTCTCCCTCCACCTCACACCCCCTTTTCTGCAATCTTTAACTTAGGTATGTCCTTGAAAATAACAATATCACCTTCCAGTCTAAGGAACTCCTTTTCCTTTTTCTTGGAAGGTGAAATGAGCACTAAATACATCATTTTAAAATGAATTGCTGACAGTGTGATCAGTTTCCCCACACTCTAGTGGCATGTGCTCTGATTTCAGCCTCATTTCAGCCTCAGCAGGGCACCTTTCTCTGTGGCTGCATTTATAAACCAGAATAGGGAAAAGGCTATTATAAATATGGTATAGCATTACCTATATTAATCAAAGTCTGTCCCCCTTCATTTTTCTTCCTAATTTGTGCCTTTTTGCACAAGGTCAGTAAATCATACCATGAATTCTTGGTCCAGAAAGTGTTAACTTTAATGAATATCTCAGTTACATGGTTATGTATGTGATAATAAAATATTACTCTGTTTAGATGTGCAGGAATTTAATTAAAATAATCTCTTAAAATATTCATTACATTTAGCCCCTGAGGCTTAGAACAACACAAGAAAATGCATTTCTTTTCCATTTACTGTTTTTAAATAAACCATTCCTATAGAGTGAAATAGCAATCTATTTTCAAGCAAATCAGATTGGATTTCTGTTTTATGTAGTCTGTTTTTATATTTAATTAAAAACTACATGCTATATGATGTGCAATAATTGCTATATCAAAAGCATACTTTCGGAAATGTATTTTTTAAAGGGTTCGACTATATTTTCTCCAATTACGTAGATCTTTTATATGGCAATATATAAATGTCAACTTTCTCTCCTATTAACTAATCATAATCTAGCATGCTGGAAAATATTTTACAAGGAAAACACTAATATGAAGTTCTTTTAGTTACAGTAAAAAAAACCCCCTGCAGAATACATTTATTCACTAAAGATACACAGCATGATAACTTGTAAGCTTAATTAATTAAATGAAAAAATTCATAATCAAAACTTCTGTGAGGAATAACTAATACAAAATAAAATCACACTTGTATTTCATGAGCTAATAAAATGGTACCTGTCAGCTTTGACATATTAGTCTTGACCAACTGACAGTCCCAAAATACCCATTTAAAAGTTACTCTTATTTTGATGTGTTAGAGATACTACCTTTAAAATTTCAAAATAATTTATAAATAAGTACTTTATTGATTAAAAATTATCTCAGATTAATAAAAGCATAGACAACTAACAGTACATTATTAAAAGAAGATATTTTTAAAAAAATAATAGAAATCCAATGGTCTTTTCTGAGAAAGCTGGGGACACAATGAGAACATCAAAAATTTCCTTTGTTGATTTTGATCATGCATAAAGAGGAGGAGATATAATGTAACCAAAATGGAATACAAAAAAAGTGTAAGAATTACAGTCCTCAAAAACAAAAATTAAAAAGCTCTTTTATTCTTCTTTCTTATTTTGCTGTGTACATTTTAAGTGAAAACTATTACAATACCATTTAAAATAAGTAAGAAGCTCCTACAGAGTACACATAGAAGCAAAAAGACAACAGTTGTTTGAACTCAATAAAATAAAATTCTCCTTTAAGTGAAAGGCAAAAAGACGGTACACAGATGGCTATGTGTATGGCTTTGATAGTCATGGAGCTTGGATAGGCACTTCATCATTCTGCCTACCTACACTTATCTGTTAAAATTATTATCAAATATCAGCCAGGATGCAGTCGTGAATCACAGGCTGCTCCTTGTCTTCAGGGGAATGATACAATGAGGGTCTATTCATCAGTGCGGCAATTGGCACAAGTAATTAGTTCCCTAGACTGAGATCTCCTACAAAGCCTATTTCAGTCAGCACCACAAACATATGACGATGTAAAGCTAATGAAAGCTGCTAAAATTTGTTAACCTTTTCTGCCATCAATCCTTCTAATATTCTATGCTTCAGTCTTATGCAAAGGTGGTAAATTATTAATTTGTCATTCATCCATCCTTCTGAATTTTGAGTCAAATTAAATGATGTCATTTTTCTTGATAACAATTAAAATTATAAGAGATGTTAAGCTGCTATTATAAAATTATTACTAAATTAGGTAACAATACATTCTAGTATAATGCATGAGGGTGAAGTCAAATCCAACAGCTATTAAAGCATGTGAGCAATATTTTTCGTCATAGCATAGAAAAAACAGAAGAATTATAAAATCATTCACAAATTAACAAGTAACCCAAAGATAATATGTATAAGAGTAATAACCAACATTAGGAGGAAATAGAACTATGATATTTATTTTTGTGCTCTTTGATACTAACAAAAAATAATCACAATAGTAGCCTTTAGCTAAAACAAAAGCACCAATATAACAGGAACTGAGAATTTGCTCATACAATAGAAAAATTTTTAAGATAAGTTTCATCTTCAAATATAAATGTAGTACCAAAAATTTAAAAAATACTTAGATACAGTCCAAAAAAAATAAAGAACTTTTACCTCAGCATAATGTTTACAATATCCTGAAGCTATATCTCAGACTATCTTTCTCAATACAAGTAGTTTAACTCCTGTTAACAACAATTTATTTTATTTTTTTTTAAAGATTTTATTTTTATTTATTTGACAGAGAGAGACACAGCGAGAGAGGGAACACAAGCAGGGGGAGTGGGAGAGGGAGAAGCAGGCTTCCCGCGGAGCAGGGAGCCCAATGTGGGGCTCGATCCCAGGACCCTGGGATCATGACCCGAGCCGAAGGCAGACGCTTAACGACTGAGCCACCCAGGCGCCCCTGTTAACAACAATTTAAAATAATCTGAAGACAAAGCAAAAATCACTTATTTCAGAGCACAGATCTAGATAGAGAGCGCAAAACTTGCCATACGTTTTCTCGAGAGTCTCTCCATTATAAAGCACTGCTCTCCGGGTGATACAGGATACAAACCCTCAAGGAACTTACTCAAAATGGAATAGCTATTAGCCTCATTTGGAAAAAAATAGCATTTATCATCCAACTTCTGATGCTGAGAGTAATACATATTCTTTGGGGAAAAAAGTCATACTCATTTTTTTCAGATAAGGGTAATTACTAGCATGTTTAAAGTCATTTACATAGAAACAGACCTGGGCCTAAAAATCCAATGTTTTATCCCCCAATCCTGCTCCCTCCAATAACATACACTCTTCGTATTAAATTTTATCACTGAAAAAATGAGGCATGCTTTGTCATTTTAGAACAGTATTGGGGGTGGCTCAGTCATTAGGCGTCTGCCTTCGGCTCAGGTCATGATCCCAGGGTCCTGGGATAGAGCCCCACATTGGGCTCCTTGCTCAGCGGGAAGCCTGCTTCTCCCTCTCCCGCTCCCCCTGCTTGTGTTCCCTCTCTCGTTGTGTCTCTGTCAAATAAATAAATAAAATCTTTAAAAAAAAAAAAAAAGAACAGTATTGGAAAGGGGAATGTGTAGGTTTCGATCACCCAACTTAAAGTTTTGATCTTTCACATAAGGATTTCACTCTCATTTAAGACATACTTCTACCACTCACTAAAAGCCCCTTGTAGGGGAAAAGAGGATAAGAAATTGGCAAATTGGCATAATCGAGCCAACTGTCTTCCCCATGACATTATGAATTAATTAAGTTGTATATTTTTGGGGTTATCACCAATGGTATGGAAAGAAAAATTTTAAAAACTTGAAGTATTCAGAAACCAACTGTTGATCAAATACAAGCATGGGTAAGATAAGAAATTACTCTAAGAATTTAGAAATATATATATCTGGATCACTATATAGCTTTAAATATCTGTACCTATCTAAAAAATGATATTATTATGTGATACCACATTCACAAACTTAACCTATATCCATTTCCACTAATAATGAAAACTAAGATCCCAAAAAGTATTCAAGTTAAGGATGTGAGCCTAGGCCACATAACATCTGGAAATAAAGACTTCTCTATAAAAGGTGCTGCAGTTAGGTCCCCTATTAGTACACTCTCCAAGTACTAAAATTTTTAATAGAAATACATGTCTTTGAAAGTTGTGGATGACACTAAAATTAAATGCTCTAACTTTTCTTTCTAATGATTTTCTGCAATTCTTTGACCTAATTTCAAAGCCTGAGATTAAGATTATAATAAAAGTATAACTGTCTTTATCTAATTATAAGCATAAGTCATCTAATTGTCTTTATACTTTTTCAAAAAAACCTACACACTTATGTGTTTATATACACATACCTTTAACATATCATTAAAATCTACATAATAGAATATAAAACATTGTCATTTTAATATACAGAATATATATTTTCTGTTCTACAAGAGTAGAATCAAATAGATTGTTAAAATATATCTTGGAGGGAAATATAACTCAAGCATTAATAGATAGTCTATTAATTCCCTTTCTGAGCTCCAATGTTGTTAGTGATTTGACCAAGTAAAACAAATGAACAAGTATTACCCAATGACAATCAGGTGGAAAAGGCAGAAGTAAAAGAAAGAGTCAATCAATAACTAAGGTATGATCCACTTTCTTCCTCTAACAGTTAAATGGCTCAACTATAAATAATCTATTATTTTTCACATGTAAATTTTAAGACTTTATAAAGTTCAGGGTTTTTTTGAAAAGTATAACAAGTCAATGAGCCAATTAACAATGTATAAATGGACGAATACTGAAATAGAATCCTAAAATATTTTCTAGGAACAATGACTGACTCTACCTTGAGCCAGCTGCCAGGAATACAAGGATTATTAAGATATTGTCCTGGCCTCATGGGGAAGACAGAAGTGAAAATAAATAATGAGAATTCAAAAAACTGTGTGTAATAGAGCAGAGCTCTATTAAATGGCTATTAAAATGCACAACTCCAGGGGGCAGTGTTCACATCAAAATTTGTA